TCCAAATAACTTACAAAGGCTCGGCATGTATTGAATCAGCTTCTGGTTTCACTCTTTTGAGCGATATACACATTTTCTTTCTGAGTTTCTTTATCATTATGTGTGTTGAATGTTGCCTGTTGGCTGCACAATAAATGTAATCAAAAATCTAATTTTAGGGGACGCAAATCACATATTTTCCACTTATTTAAAGGGGCATTATGTAGGAATTTAGAATACTTTTAAACAATGTCATAACCCGGCTCAATAGAAATGACAGAAACACGCCAAACAACAGTTGCCAATTGAAATAATATTTATTAATAAGCAAAGTTAATATTTTAATGAGGTGTGGAAGTCTGTAATGAGTGCGTGTTAGTGTATGTGCTGTGAGCGTATGTCTGCAGTGTTGAATGGTGTGTAGAAAATAAACCAAAACGAACCAAGACGAACGAACCAAAACGAACCAAGCAACCAAACCATACCAAACCAAACCAAACCAAACCAAACCAAACCAAAACCATACAAAAGGAGGCGGGACATGCAGGTGTCAAGATGGGAGCAGGATGAGCCAACAACCATCTCTGGCATGTGCACGCTTTAAAGGCGCGGCTCCGCGTGTCACGCACGCGCACCAATGAGCACAGCTTCCACCTGAGAGAGGAGGATATACGGCCCGTCAGTGGCCGTAACAACAACAACACTTTTCCATGACAAAATGACAACAATTTATAGAATATAGCCTTCAATCTATTGAAATCTAAACCAGTGGGAACTTACAAATAGAATATATTCCAAATACGTTATTCCCCGCATGGACCTTTTCGCTTTATAACAGGCCCTTAAATATCTTTTTGAGAATAGAGGATTGTTACAAACTAATAGTCTATTAGATCCAATCCCCAGACACCTGCTAAAGCCTGCTTTATATTTACCAAAGAAAATGTAGTCAGTGGAGGTTGGTCTTTCTCTGTGCAGATGGTTCTTATTAGAGTAAATGAGTCTCAAGGTCAAAACTACAGGGATTTAGAGTCCAGCCATTTGTTTGGCTCCAAAGGGTCCAGCAACAGATTCAAGTGGAATCGATACATATTTTTTCAGTTGTTGTGTGATAAAATAGAGTACATGTGCCTGTGCATTTATCTTTAGATAAACTGTACTACTACTGACTACTGTAGCCACAGCTGCCCTGGGGCACACTGACAGAAGCGAGGCAACCAGTATGTGCCATCGGCCCCTCCGACCACCACCAACCATTCACACACACCAGACTCATTCTAGGCAATGGGGGTAAAGTGTCTTGCCAAGGACACAACGACAGCAGACAGTGGGAGTCGATGGTGAAAGTCAGGCTCAAACCCATGACCCTCTGGCTCAAAGGCCAATGCTCTACTAACTGAGCTATTGTCGCCCAGTAGCATAAATGTTATTCAGTTTGTATGGTTTGTTTACAGTGTTGGATACTGTGAGGCCCCACTAAAGACTATCAAAATCTTTACATCAAATCAACAAAAATGTTGTTCTGCTGACTGTCCTGCTCTTTTCTTGGTGTGGAACTTCAAAAACGTATTCATTAAAAATCATGAAGTATTTCAGTATTTGGAAAGAATATTTTATTTTTGGAGAAAGAAGGTTTGACAAAATAATGATTCGATTCCAAACAGTAAAATTATACCACGTTACTACCACATCTAATTACACGGTTCTGTTCTGTGCAAAGACATTAGACAGCACTTTGTCACCAGCATTAGGAATTCACGCCATGTGCTTGTTTCCAAGTCGGCTCCTTAACCACGACTGGCCTGGTCTGTGTCAGCTGTCGCTCCATCGGCTAAAAAAAGATGCTGCTAGCCTTTTTAGGAGCTCAAAAACAACATAGAAGCTACAGAGCACTGTGACATGCTTGTAGCAGCCCAAGCCCTTGACTCCATGCCCTTCCACAGCTCGCGGTTCAGATAGAGTTTAGTGGTTTCCTATGGTTCTCATCACCCCTGTGGGGAGATGAGCTTGAACTCCTAAATCAGCAGACCCAGCAGTGGCCTGGGCTATCCAAATGTGATCATGGCAGGGGCCTCTCGTCTCATTACCGATCTCCATTTCAAAACTGCCTTCAAATGGGAACTAATGCATTAGCACTCACGAGGGAAACGTCTATGGAGCCACTACATAGCAGCAGCTCCAAATCTCTTTCATACATGTTTTATCAGAGGGGTGTGCAGAGAGAAAGAGAGCTTGGACTGCACCGTTCATTTGGTGCAGATCTTATTAGCTTGGCACAGTGTTATGGGCTGCCATTGTGCTCCATTAAAGCCCTCAGGCCTGCTCCAGTGTTTGTTGAATCTGAGGTATGGTGGTGCCAAGTGTTTCTGGATGTATTTGAAGCCATGGAAATTCAATCCCAAATGCTCAGTACTGAGGTTTCTCATAGTTAAATGAAGGGGATTACTGGAACAATAAAACAATGTTTTACCTCAGATACCACCATATCCTGATACAGAGCAGAGAAATGTGTGTAAACATACAATCTAGGATTGCAGTCATTTGTCTGGTGAGACGCTCCTTTGTAAAGCCCTGTCAAAATAAAGGAGAGTTAGAATAAAAATATAAATAGACATAGAAAAGCATGCATAATCTCTGTGAAAATACAGAAAAGAATAAAACCGCCAAGACAAGTGAAGAATGGCTGTGGAAAAGAGCTGACAATTGCAGTGGCTGTAATAACCCACCTTGGGTCGGATATGCTAGGCAATGTGTCAATTGATTCCCATCTGATGATGGACTGTGTGCTGAAATAAATTGACCTTGCCAGACGATGAGTGAAATTGATGGAGCTTTTCATCTCCGGAGGGCCGTTCACACTCAGCCGTAAAATGGATAGAGCACAGGCCAGAGAGATTGAGGCAGAGAGGTAAGGTGCGTGTCTTCTACCCACAAAGGCTTCCTTGGTAAATATTACTTACAAGGAGAATTACATGCAGTAACAAGTACATGGCTTAAGTACCTGTTGTTGACTCGATGATTAGGACTAAAAGCACGGAACATTTAAGTGGTCCTGACCGCAGACAGATGCTGGCCATTTTTGAAGAATACGTGTCTCAATTACTTGGAAACTAAATTGAAAGTGATAGTGATTTAAGTCTTCCCGATACACCTCTATTCTGCCAAACAGTCTTTTCAAGCGTCCTGTGGAAAAAACAGCTTGAGTGGGTGAGACACAGGAGCGTTATTGATTTTCAATAACATCTTCTAATGACCTGGCCACAGTTTGATCCACGCTGTCACTTTGGCCTGATATCATGTGATTGGATTGGTGGGTCTTGCAGCGCACAACAGAGAGATGAGTAGTCAGGGCATTATCAGGATGAATTGGCCGACTGAGGATCAGCAGCGCTGTGCTCAGGTCCCGTCAATAGTGGGACGGGGCGCCCTAGGGCTCTTGGTGCAGCCCACTCCTGTGCACCTTCCGGCCTCATTAGAACAGAGATGAGTGGTGTGAGGAGAGAGGGGAGAGCCTCTCGTCTATTCGATAGCCTGCCTCCCAGGCATTGCTCCTCTTAATGAGTCCAGACCGCAGGTCAATATGCCGCTGGGCTGCCAGTCAATACCGGTTACCTGCAACACAAACACTCAAAACCTGCTTTCATACAAAATCAATGTTCTATTAGTCCCTCCCTGTATTGCCTTGGTCCAATCTCATCGATTCTCTCTGAAGAGCTCTGCAGCCCATGTATGACAGATTATTGCTGAATGATCTGATGGCTTAGGCTACTCTCTAAGCGAAGTCAGTCGCCTCTATGATTTCAAAGTAATAGCTTGATTTAAGATGAGCAAATACTCTAAATGCTGGAAGCTGAGCACAGCATTATCGGCAAACCCATCAACCTCAGATCACGATATAGCTCAGTGGCCCAGTGTTACAGACACATTCAATGCAGTTGTCAAACTAAAAAAGAAACACAGAACATGGCATGACATTAGGTCCAAACTTTATTCCGTACATTTTAAACCATGAATGTTCAATTTCGCACGCCTAAAACTCTACTTGTTTTGTATACAAGAGTCTAAGAAAAACAACTGCACAACACCACACGGTTGACAGAAATAGTCTTTTTGTTGCCCCAAAAAGCGTCCTTAGCATCTGTCCAGGGCTGGTCCAGTTTGTGACATGGAAGTCTGTTAAGAACTCCAATATGAACACTTAATCCAGATTTCTGAGAGTTGTGAGAATCCTCTCCCAGTCTGAGTCTCTGTAGGGTGCTGTGTGCTCCTTTGCATAGATTGCAGTTGATCCCTCTTGGCCCTCATACAACACCCTCAGTTCGACCCATCCATTGGCCACAAACTTTGCCTTAGTTTCAAAATGATGGTTTCCCCAACCGTCACTTCATTTTGATTTTCTAGAAATGGTTAAAAAGCCTATAATTTACACGGTCATTTTGCAGCAAGGAAATATGAACAAGATATTTACATCAGTTTTCTTTACAGAGACTGAACAACAACCTCATAATATATTTATCTGCATATCTCAAAGGCAAACAAAAGATTGGTAATGTAACATGTACATTGTCATTGAGGGCCTCCTGGTACCATGAGGTTAAATCAGGGTCAAACTGAAATCCAGTCTTTTGAGTGGGTCATAATGGATGTGTCTCACAATCAATGAAGATAAATATTTTAAAAGGTGTAAGGACTGCACAAAAAACATCAAATTCATAGAAATGATATCTATACATGGAACAAGGATAGGAAATGTACAAACTCGATTGAGGCCTTTTCTTGCATGAAGCAGAAAAAGGTACTGGATTAATATATTAATAATTATCAAATATTTAAGTCGGCTGTAAACATACACGTATATATGTTATTCACCAACATTATTCAACCTTCAGTCCCACTGTCCCACTAGAAATAAGGTCATGGCATGTGCAGCCTGGTGCACAGTTCATTTGTACAATCATACTTTCCCTTAGGGACTGAGGCTCTTCTCTGTTTCAGAGTGGGCTCAGTCCTACACTAAGAAGCTACCGTGCTTCTACTTCTTTGGGGTTTCGAGATGGGGAGTAATCTCTGGGGTCTTGGGTGGTGAGGGGGGTAGTCCTTCTGGGAGATGTGGGCCGAGCATTAGCAGCTGGCACCAGGGGCGGGGGCGCACTGAGAGCAGCAGTCGGAGGTGTCCTATTCAGTGGGCCATTGTGTCCAGTGGAAGGGCTGAGTCTGGGGTAAGGCATGCCCCCCAGAGGAGACATAAATGGGGGCATGTGGGGCAGGTGTCCCTCCATGGGGGACTGGTGCAGCTGGTGCAGGCGGGCTCTGTCCAGCTCCTCCCTCAGGTGAATGCGCTCTCGCTCCTCGGCGTGCTGTCTGAGGCGCTCGTGTTCCCTCCGTACCTCCAGCAGGTGCTCGTGGTGGGAGTAGTCATGTGCCTCTCGCTCGCGGTATGCCCGCTCCTGCTCGTACATACTGGGGAAGCGGTGTCCCTCGGCTCGTAGCTGGAAGTCCATGCGGCGCTGCAGGTCCAGGCTGCGATAGGCCTCTCTCAGGGGGTCCCAGGGGAAGGCAGGATGGGGCAGGCGCTCTCTTCCTGCCAGGGGACTGACACCCATGAAGGGGGCCATCCGAGCCCTGTCCAGGACATTCAGACTACCCATCTGTGGTACAGCGCTCATGGAAAGGGGTAGCGAGTGTGCCATTGGGACACCATGTAGTCCTGGAGCCGACAGCTCTGGGCCCCGCGGTGAGGGCAGTGGAGGCTGCTGCAGAGGAGGGTGGTGGTGATGAGGGTTTCCGGGCTGGGACACAGGAGTAGAGAGTGTTTGGGACAGTGGTTGTGGGGCAGGTTCAGAGCTCACCACCATGACCTCCTGCTCCTCCTTTCTCTCCTCTTTTATCTTCATGTCGTTTTTCACTTTATGCAGCATCTCTGCAGGCTCCTTCCTGTCATTGTCCTTCAGAGTGGGCGGGGGTCCTGTCATCTTGAGGCTCTGCTCATTGATCATTGTCTTAGAGTACGGAGACGGGGAGCGCTGTGAAGCTTTGATGCAGTCTTCTGAGGACCTCCTTTCTAGGAGCTCCTTACTGGGCGAGCGGCTCTCCTTCACCTTCACATCCTGCATGCTGGTCTCTCTGTGGCGGTCCAGGAGGTCCTTGTCTCCGTCTCTGATGCGGTCCACACTGCTGCTGTGGTGCCGTCCTGAGTCAGTAGAGTTCTGACTGTTGGAGCGGATCAGGTTGCTGATCTGGTAACTGACCGGCCCAGAGGCAGGAGAGGAGCGGCTGGAGTGACGGTTCCGATCCACAGAATCTCTGTAAAACACAAGGATGACTTTTATTTTACAATATACAGTACATTTACAGTAAAAAAATATATACATATTGTACATTTAAAAGGACACAACCTTTGTAATAGGCCAGTTATAAAAATAATTCATATTTACAATAGCCAGATAACACAATATGAAGAGACACAATAATTAACTAGTTATCTATAAAAATGAGGCCAGCCATTTTATTGAAAACAAAAGCATTTAAAAAGCATTCAATGTTTTGTATTCTTCTTTTTTACCAGTTCAAAATTGTGATATCGTCATCTAAACCTAGGTTTCACCTGTATAAACGAGTATTTGGATAACTGTCTATATCATGCAACTGTTTGACAATATTCTAATTTTCTAAATGTCTGTATTAACACTTGCCTGTCCTTGTCCTTCTCCTCTTTCCCGAGAGACGAGTCTCGTTTCTCCCTCTCTCTTTCTCGTTCTCGTTCCCGTTCTCGTTCTCGTTCCCGTTCGTGGCTGTTGGCTGAGCTGCTCCGCTCCATGTCTGCGGATTTGGGCCACTGCGGCGGCGTAGGGAAGGATGGCGGCGTGCGTCGGAGTCTGTTCCAGGTGTCGTGGTGGGGGCTGCCGAAAGTGGACAGACCCGGGGGCCCCTCTTTGCTTCCAAACACACTGTTGGACCCTGGTGAGGGAAAGGGACAGGCGTGGGAGCCGCTGTAAGTTAATTGGGCACAAAACCCTCTCGAGGACATATATACGATAAGAACGATTCAACAACAAAAGCTGCTTTAGTCTTTGTCTGTGGAGGATTTCGCACTCAAGCTGTATGAAAGAATAAGAGGTTAATGGCTCCCCCACAAACTGAAAACAAAGTTGCATTTGCTTTCCGACTAAAGAGCTGCTTCTCCCTCCTGGTTTTTTTTTTTGTGAACACCGGATGAACTGGGCTCGACTCTCTTGCCCTCTGGAGAGTTGTGAAAAGCCAAGAGGAACCTCAAAATTCCACCGCATGTCTAGTCCAATCACTTTTCATTCTCACAACAAGCTGACTGAATTGGCACACAAGAATAGGGGGTGAAGAGAAAAGAGAGTTGAAGGTAGGGAGGAAAGATGCAGGGAGGGGGGAGGAGGCGCTGGAGGAGGGGGGGAGCCCTCCACGACGCTGCAGAAGGCAAGCTTGTCAAGTAATTAATAGATGAATTGCCACCAAATGGTAGACCCGGGAGTGCGTGTTGGCAGTAGCAGCGCCAGATTAAAGCCAGGCTGCTGGGGACATGGCTGAGAGATGCAGGTTTTTATTTTATACTTTGGTGTGGTTCGCTTTTTTTGGCTTCGCTCAGCTATGGCCACGACACAAAAAACTGCAGCTAGAGGATTTTTGTTTTTATGCTTTTATAAAACTCTCCTGTCTGTCCCTGTGGTCTGCCTCTGTCCCACTCTGTTTTGTTACTGGCCACAAGGGCTGGATCGAAGGATGAGAGGGGGCCAGCGCTTACCAAGCGAGGGGTTGCCTAATCCTCCGAAGGCACTGCTTGAAAGGTTGCCGAGGCCGCCAAAGGAACTGGAGCGACTGAAAGGATCTGCAAAATGCCAAACAGGGATTAGCAAAAGCAGGGGCCGGCTCCTGGTGCTCACCCAGTCCCAGCCCGTTCCACTCGGCTTTTCTCTTACAAGCGAGCTGTGTGTGGCTTTCCTCCACCGCTGCCCTAACGCTCAGCCTGGTAATCCCGCTGTAGCCAGGCCTCGAGGATTCCGGATTTACTGACACTAACGGGAGAGCGGAGAGTGTGTGAACTCTGCCAGGGACACAGCGCGGCTTCATTTAACATGGTGGGAATGCGGCTAGTCTACAGGGATGACGGCGTGTGCTTTTTCAGCTCGTTTTGTCAAGTTGGTGACGTGATAGTAATTGCGAGTGGGCTAATTTAAAGAGCTGAAACACAGTTAATGTTATAAGACAGGGGAAAACTCAGAATGAGAATATTCTTCAAAAAACCATGTACTTCAGTAATTCAACTTGCCATGAGACACGCAAAGTGAGACATGTCATAGTTATGTTGATAATTGGCTAACAGCATGTACAAAACCCAAATACAACTCACAAAATCAGAATATTTAGAACATGGACTGTAAGCCATAATCATCAGAATGATAACAAACTTGGCATACATGTTACTTTGCGTATAATGAGTCTGTATCATATATAGCCTTGAATTACAGAACTGAATTAGTGTTTGAAGGATATTCATTCTTCCAGAGTTTCACCTGTGTGCATGAGATTAAATGCATTGGAATTTGATGTATTTTACCGCATTTCATTAATGTGTATTTAACGTCTCATTTTGACTTGCGAAGCGCCCTCTGATGTGATCTCTGTGAAAGCCGCTCCATCAACGAAAGGTTACTTACTTACCTATATTACGACTCTAAAAGATACCTTGGGCACGCAAACGTTTAGGAGTTTCAAGATGCATAAATGAACAATGCTTTAAACTTGCCCTACTGTGTCATCCATGTTTGAATAAAATGAATCACTAGCTTCACACCAACACCCCTGCATTTAAAAAAAAAAAAATCTCATACACAATTATAAACAGAGTGCCCTACTGTACAGAAACCTGTCTCTCCAAAAATGTGAACTTGGACAGAACTGTACGCCTGAATGGGCACCTTATTAACCTCGAAATGAGCTTGAGGTCAGGCTCTGATATTGAGTCGTTTTGTCTAAAATGGGTCGTGAGGTAAGGGGGAGAGGGTGAGAGGGGGAAAAGATGAAGAGAAATGGAAATAGGTGTATAAAAAGTAGTGAAAGTGGAGTTACTTACACTTACCTGCCAAATGGCTAGGAGGCAGGAAGCCACTGGGGTGTGGGGCGGGGCCATAGTGCTGTGCAGCCGGATGACCTGGTCCTAAAAACAAACATAACCCCACTATTATAAATGTTGTTGTTGTGACAATTCTATTATGGAAATGTGGTGAAAAAATACAATATAAGTTTGTTTTAATGATACAATTATGGCTCACAGTTTGTAAAAATACAGAATAAAACATGGGAATATTGTGAAAAATCCCTGTAAGCCATGATAATCAAAACTCAACCATATGTCGCTTTGCATGTAAGTCTATATCTTACGTATACGGGTTTCACATGTTAAAATGAATTACATAAATATACTTTTGAACTATATTCAAAATCCGTAGAAAAATCTGTAGAAAGTCAACATAGACTTTAAAAAACACTGATCTACAGACATCTACCATCAGTCAGGTCAGCTCCTGAAAGTACCAGTTTGTCGCATGTCCTTTCTGCCAGAGCGCAGTGAGCGTTGCCCGTTTTCATGAATTGTTAATGAATGAAGCAATTATGGGAGTGCCTCTGACACACCGCTGTATAATTACTAGTCAAAGGGTGTTCGCCTCTCTGTTGCCCTCCAACGCAGGGCAAATCAGTCAATTACCTAAGCGCTAGTCATCCATATTCATAGACATATCTGACACCCTTTACTGGCAAAACATTTGCTACAAAAGCACTATAATTAAGTGAACGTTGCATGAGAGGAGAGGGAAAAAATGATTACACGAGTGGCTTCCACAGTTTTAAATGTTCATTTGCATAGAGACAAAAAATGCCTTGGCAGAAGTTTAGGCTATCGTAGGTGGAGTAGAAATGAACGTATTGTATGTAGTAGTAGAACCATAGTTTATTTTCTTTACTTTCATTATGAACATATAAATCTTAGTATGTATTTGTTGAATTATCATTATTCATGTTCTTGTTTTTTTTTTTTATTGATGATAATTATTATCCTTTTATTTTTTGTTATTATTCAGTATTCAACTTCAGTATAAGGGGAATAACTACATTTTAACATGATTTTCTATGTATGTATTTATTATTATCATCATTATTCTTGATTTATTAATATTTCATGTTTTTTTAGTGTACATATAAAATGCAATGATAGAAATATGTATGTACCACCTGAACATTGAAACTACAAACTGGAAAGAGGGAAAAAAAGATTATTTTTCGGACTGACCTGTGGATGAGAACAGTGGCCGGGCGAGGTCGTGAGGGTAGGGAAACCCCGGGAAAACTCCAGGGGCCGGGGGTCGACTGAACAGGTCCAGCTTCCCGTTCATGTCCAGTTTGTGAGGGTCCAGCTGCATCTGCTGTAGAGGGCACAGCATGTTTAGGCTGGCAGGCAACACCAACACACATCTCCCACAATGCAGTGCGAGGATTTATACTGGGCTTCTCTGAGCGACCACAGGCAGACAGATACTCACACAAAAGCCCTGTGTCTACCATTCTGGCCAGTGTTTCACAACAAATATGAGTAAGCTGATCAGGGACAAACTAATCCTCTGTAACAAGGGTTCATGGTCCAAGAAGGACTGACAGCACCAGGCCAGACGCATATGCCGATTTATTTTTAGATTTTTAGATTTTTTACTCATCTACAGTAAGAAGCTACTGTATGCCAGAGGAAACAAGGAAAACCAAAACAATTCTAACTATGTTTTGTTTATCTATTTATTTTGACTATACCAATAATAATAAAAATAGGTTTTAAATTAATTTCACTCACCTTCATTTTCTGTTGGTGGTGATAGATCTGCCATGCGATCTGGACATGCACTGCACACCACTTGCCAGGTTTCTACAAAAGATATTAGCAAGAGACTGAGGTTAGCGTGCTGGTTTTAATAAAAGGCATTTGCCATTTGAGACTAAAATAGGAATCTTGTCTTTCTAATATAGGAATGTTGTCTTTTCTTAAGTTTGCTACCAGAAAATGAAATCTATGTGACGAGATATGGGAGCGACTTACCCGTACCGAGGTCCTGTAAGGATCTGTTATCTGCAACACATGGGACACACAGTATTATTGCAAATGCAGCTCGAAGAATACTATCTGAGATGCCCTTTGTCTATATCACCATGTTTTGTTTCCTGGTGATATAGACCATGAAACAAAACAACACAACTATGCTATCCAGAGCAGTGGTTCTCAAACTGTGGTTAACAAACGGAACCATGGCTCTTCATATGCCTTTATAATATTTGTTCCCTATTTTTGTCTATTTCTGAGGTGAAGCATCTGTGTTTCCCAAATAATGTCTAAAAAGATTCATGCATTCTGTCATGAATCAACAAAAAACATTTATTATCCAAAATTTGACAGTTTTTCAGATCATATGGCACAGGCCGAGATAAGAACTTTCAGGCATACTTCAGCTACGCTTTTATTATTAATTTTTAATCAATAATCTACTCTAGTGATTGCAGACAACACCACAGTGTATATTTTTTTTACCTGTGAGACAAATCATGTCTCACAGGTGTTTTAAATCAATGTAAATATCAGGATTTTCTAATACAAACATGGAACTCTGCCCCTTCTGTCTAAAAAAATTATATACTATAGATTATATATATTCATATATCAGAAACATACACAAATACAAGCTTCTGTCCCAGTTCTGCAATAGTATGGTGTACCACTATTTTTATAAAAACAAAAGTACTTCCTATAAATAATTTTTGTCAATTTCTCAAGTGGAGGGATCTTCTTTGCAACTGTGATAATAGCATAGGGATAGGGCAGGCTGGTCACATTGTCTATACTTGATACATGGTTCTCTGTATATATATTCACATTAATTCAAGTCCCATTCACTTTATACATTACATTTCTGAAACAAAAGCCCTCTGGCGCCCTAAAGGTTGTATTCCTACTAAAAGGCTTTGCGATACAACCTATTCTCAGTGAAATGTTAGGCCAGCTCCTCCGGCTTACCCGAGGGTCTTTCTGTAGTAGCGTGTGAGGCACTGCTCCTGGACGGCCGGCCACGTCGATGGGGTTCGATGCCTGGAGAAAGAAAATCAAAAGAAAATCCAGTTATTCTACAGCAACACTTTGACCTAATTCCTCTTTGAGTGTATAACGCAACCCTGATGTTTCAAATCTGAAAACCCATCCCTGTAACCCTATACCCTCGCTAAGCACTATCGTTCAATAAATCCTGCGGTAATGCTGACGTCAGGAGATGAAAATGCACCGATGCTGCTATAGCGCTCGGCTTTGGCCCACTAGCACATCTGTGATCTCTCTCTCTGATCTCCTCGGTAAGTCTTTGGAGCACAAGTGCCTAGATCAGCCGCATTAATCCGTCCCGCATCGAGAGGAAGAAGATTGTGCTGCAAGGCCAACGCGGGTCAGCGGCAAGCACAAACAAACACAGGCACGTCCCACGTCCTGCCCTCTCCCTGAATACTTAACAGGAGCTTTAGATATATCAATGTTTTCTTTCAACCATCTGGAGGCACCCTGAACAACGGAGCAGGGCCTCACCGTGACTAACCCCGTCGGGAGAAAGGCCAAGGGATTTAGGGCAGCTTTGATTGGTGGCTTACAGCAGGTCAAAGCCACAGGGCCGCTGCCAGACAAGACCCATCATTAGCTCAAATCTGGTTTAAGATCTGTATATTATTGGAAAACCCACAATTAAACACATTAATTGGGATCCTGTGGGGGAAGTATATATCCTTAAAGTCATTGGAATTTCTCTTTGGTTGCAGAGAACGATTAGATATTATAATACATATATGTTTTTAAAGGATTTTAGGATATTTTGTTAAATTAGTCTCATATAAACTGTCTAAGTTATGCACATTTTTAGACTTTCTCTTTTATACAGAGCAACGTACAGGATGCAAACTTAATTTTATTCAGCGTGCGCATTGTTGAATCTAGAATCCGTTTAACCTCGCTCCCAAAACAGTCTGGTTCTATTTCTAGTCTCAACAAGCATGTGTGTTTTGGCCAAATCTTTAGTTTGGCTTTTTTCGACTGAAAAGTGAAAACGAGAGGACCACACTCACTCACAGCCAATCAGCTCTCAGCCTTAAGATTCAAATAGTGACTCTCAGGGCTCTATTTTAAGCATGTTGTGGGCTGGCTTGCCGATTTTGTTCATTTTACTTATATTATTCATCAAACTAAATGAGGTGCAAGTGAGTAAATCAGAAAGGTAAAAAATAAATAGTCGTCAAAGAGTTACAAGTTAAAAGGTACGGTGATCTTCAAGGACATGGCCATGTAACAAGTCTGACTCATTAGTCCAAAAACGATGGAACCGCGAAAAGTGCGGTCAAAAATAGTGCTTCACCTGTTGCCTTGAGACATAAAAGTCCTGGAAAAAGGATAGGCGCATTTCTGCACCTTTAGGGCTTAACTAAAATGTGGCAATCTCAGCTGTGGCTTTTTTGAATGGGAAGCCATGTATTATTTATAAACAAAAAGAAGTTAGGCATCCCAGCTTTAGTATAGCCTGTAACATGATCAAAAACCATGTATGCCACACCGTGCGGTAAAACGTTTTATGGACACCGAAGACACAGACGGCCGCAGTTCCTACCATATGGCAAATTAATCATCCGATTTGACAACTTACATGCAGATTAGGCCTTATTGCTGCCATTTATCTCCCACAGTGCACGAGTGAGGCGATGCAGCACACACATCAGGGCACGTTCACAACACTGGCTCCAGGTTGTCTTTGTTTAGGCTCACGATTGTTCAAGGAAGTTTAACAAGCACTGTGCAGACGACACGTGAGCGATCTGTTGGTTTTGAGCCTTAAACACGGGTATAAAACCTACTCAGGGATGAAGCATATGGGCCTGGAGAGGGTACCTGGGCTATAGGGCTATATAGAAACAAATACATTTTATATTTACAAATTGAATAGGCGCTAGTAACAGTATCAACATTTTTTGGTTCTATTTATTGTTCCATTTATTTAGTCATAAATTCTCAATGCTTTCTCTTCTTCTTAGATCCACTTTTTTGGTTAATTGTCTAAGTAATAAACATGCAATAGACTAGGGTTGTGTTTAACGGCTGTTTTGATAACCGATTTGTTGACCAATTATTCTTTGGTGAATGGCGTTTGTGAGATTTTGTTTGTACTTTTGACCAAAAACAAAGCTCAAGTGATGCCCTTGGAGAACATAGAGATGACTTGTTACTGTGTTGTCTGATTAAAAATACTATTTAAAACACATTTTAATTTCATTCTGCAGTCATCGTAGAATATTTTAAGTTATAAAACCTCTTCTAAGTATGTTGAAGTCCATGTAAGGTTAAATAAATGTATTCATTGAGCAGTAATTTAGCAGACAGCTACACATCAGACACACACATACACCTACACATCCACGCAATCACCACAACCACACATTTCATTTCGTACTTTTACACAGTATGTCTGTCATAGTTGCTGTCTGTTTGTTCCCGCTTTCTATTTGTATTATATTTACTAACACAAAAAAAATTGAACAAACATGCATTGTGTATGTGAGACAGTGTCATGCATCTACGTGTGGAGGCTGCTCGGAGCTGGGGGGGCTGACCTTGGGCTGGAAGGCTCCCTGCAGCGAGCTGAAGGGTCCTGAGTGCGGGAGCAGCGGGGGCATGCCTGGCATAGTGGGGGGGTAGGAGGGGAAGAACTGAGGAGAGAGACACCCAGGGAGACGTCAATCAGAGAAAGGCAGCTACACACACACACACACACACACACACACACACACACACACACACAGTCATGTTTCCAGGCAAAAGAGCTGCACGCAAAATATTGTCTTGGGATCTCTCTGATTAACTAACCATGCATACACTTTTAATATTTAGATTAAATTACATTCAACATCAAAAAGACATAATAATAATAAAAAATCACCATGAGTGTAATTACAAACAGATAATGACCATGACCTGTAGATTAGGAGTGGACTGGCCGAGTGCTGACGTCACCCATAGTGTTAGAGGCCATTATAGAGCTAGCTTAAACAGGCTCTTTGAATTACCGAGCGCCAATCCGGAGAGGCGCTGGTCTAAGCCTTCTTGCAAAACTCACTAGCTAAAGCCAAATTCATCGACAGAAGGCTCCTGATTGGTCAGATGTTAGCGCTCATATCTGGATTTACAAAGACAATATCACAATATGAACACCAAGATCGCAGAGAGTGTTAAACCATGGAGTTTACGGTTCAATGCAAGTCAATAGAAACCAGGGAGATTTCGGAAAACTTCGTCCATGAGCACTGTTGCTAATTATTACTATTTTTTACTTTTTAGAATGATCAATGTTATTGTTTTTATTTTTGCTGCTACTGGACACCTGCATTTCTCCTACAGGGATAAATCTATCTATTTATCTATCTTCCCTATCAGGCTTCATTGGGCTATAGGATTAACATTATCCATCTATATACAGTCTATGATAATGACAAGACAAAACTTACATTCGAATGTCGGATGAAGGGATTGTCCAGCTTGGGGGTGTACTTGTCAAACTGAAAGAGATAAGAGAAGAACGAATGAACAAAGAGTACAAAGACCTTTCTCTCACAAATTCACAGATTTCATTTTAAGACACATGATGTACATGGGTTTGGGTTTGCTGAGGAGCCCTGCGCCCTGGAGTGAAGCAGCTGGCGTGCAACAGTCATGGGTCTATTCCACTGCACACTCAGACAGACAGCAAAAAAAGAAAAATCACCCACAATATGAGCACTTGAGCAAGCTACCCACACAAAGACAACCTCCATGAGTTTCCAATTGAGCATGCTGAGATTGGGTGTGTGGAGGCACTTTCAAAATCAGCCCTTTCAAATCAGTTCGGTTTTGTCTATACGCTGGAAAATGTGCTGAAATCTGAATCTAATTGCTTTGGACTGCAATAACAAGACCAAATGTTATGGATGAGATGGGAAGGCGGAGGAGACGCTCGGCTTGTTTTGGGTTTTGTAACAGACCAATTCCTTGTGCTCAAATTCATGGAAAGATTATATAGAAGCCCTTGTGTGAGTCTAATGAATGAAACTGGATCAAGCTGATGACATTTGCGATGGTTAGCAGCTAATTCAGGACAACTCGGTATAAAACTAGCGCAAGTCTGGAACGGTGAAATCGCGCCAGGAAACATTTGTGATTCAAAGCTGGTGCTTGCCAGAGAAATTATTATAAAAATTGCAATTTACCGCATAATATAACTTATGATCTATGAAAACCCGTTGGTGAGCTTGTCCTCCACACATGGGAATTGAGTAGGAAAGCGGAGAAGGAGAGGAGACAGAGGAGAGAGCTGCGAATGTTGACCTGCAGATGGATGAATGGGGACTTCTGTTCAAAAGCCAGCGCTGTCGCTTTTATTTAAAAAAAGCTAATTACAAGTGACAGTAAGTTATTCCTTTTCCGCAAATACACAAGCCATTTGCAGGTACTTTTTGCGAGTGTTTTTGCAAAGCGCTCTTGGCAGGCGCGTGCGTTTTGGGTTTACAAAAAGCAGGGAAATGAGCGGGTATGAATCAGTGTTTTTCTGTCTGCCGCTGTCACATGGGCGGCGGAGGCTTGGCCGCGGTACAGAGCGTGGGTCAGGAGCCCTCGGGTAAAGCACTGCCTTTCACATGTGCTCTCAAAATGGCAGCAGCGGCGGTGATGGTGTTGGCGGCCCCGTTTGTGGGCGATAATAGGCCCAAATCAAAGACAGACGGCCCATTGAGAGGACCCGTCGAGCCTGCTTCCGAGCTCATTAAACAGCTCCTCTGCATTTCTGAAGGCACGGCCTGTTTAATGTCTGACACTCGGAGACGGATTTTGGACGCTTTATAGCCTTGTAAAGAGTATGGAATAAAGCCGGCACACGTAATTTATAACGCCTGTCAAAGTTTTATAGTAAACAGCTTTGACTAATTAAAGCTTAATATTTCATCTTATAACAATTAAGACTATTCCCTGTCCAGCGACAAAGCCGGGGCATAGGGTGGATGAGGAGATGCTCAGTGCTGCCATTTGGCAAGCCAGCTGCTTGAGGGCATTGAACAATAAACAAATAGAGGCTTCATAATTTCATTAATTACAGCCATTAGCCAAGGGCTGTTACATAGTTTAAATGACATGGTGCGTCTACACAGCAGACAGAAAGGAAAACACCAGAGAGACAGTGTTATATAAACTCGTAACAGGGCTGTACTTATGATACAACCACACAGATATTATTCCAAGACTTTCTAAGCAGATAATAGAAAAAGAAAGACAAACAACGCAACAGTTTTGCTTCACTTAAAGGGAAAAAACACATGTTAACAACAACACAGTTTCGATTAAAGACATGGCAGTAGACATTAGCAGCAAATCCCAGAGTGAGAAGGCTACATACAAAGCACAGACTACATAATGGAAGCATTAGTGAGATGAGGGAAATAGCCCCTTTCATCTTCAAAGAGGGCTGTGTATGGTATGTCATTTCTTCCACGTTAGAAAGTGTGGGGCAGAGAGCTGTGCATGTGTTGGACCGGGCTGAGAAGAATAACTGCCTTTGATTCACTTTGTACAGGAAGAGGATAATCACAAAGACGGTCTTTAATCACAGGTCATCACAAAATGGATTAGATCTATTAGACCAGTGCCAAAAGCTACAAATGAGGGCTCCATCTGAATTGACTCTCACTGATCAGTGTTTGAAAGGACTGATGCATAGTCAGAACTTTCCCCTGCTCTAAAGTCTGACCTTCAGTCAAAGCACTGCAATCAAACAGAAGACAACAGTTTAGACGTCATCTGTGCCATCTATCTACAATCAACCACATGACTCACAACTCATTACAAATCCCAAATCTGTGTCCCCTTATTCTTCTCTTGAAACAAGCTAACAGTTTAAGCTATTATAAACATGTGCATATGCATCCAATTTATAATCTGCCCGTAGGCCAGTCTTTATTTTGATCTGCAGCGAAAGTTAAGGTCTGAATGAAAACATTAAATTAGATTAGGAAATTATTTGGGAGGAATGAGTCAGATGTTGGCCTCTGCATCAGCGATGCACATGTTAATGTCTTTGTTAGAAGTATGACAATTATTCCATGTGTGTGTGTATGTTTTTAGGTTGTGACCTCCGCTAGTATTGCATTTTGTTTGGGTTTAATGTTCCAGCTTCAAAGCAACATCAGTTCCATGTGTTCCAAGGGAAAGAAATCAGTGAATATTTATATCTTGTTTTTACAATTGGGAGCTAAACTGATTAAAGAAACTTGGGTCTGAAGAGAAGCTGGGGAAGGTTGAATTAGGGGAGCTGAAGTTACTTATCCTCACATTTCTGGCCTGGGTACGCACCATGGGAGGTGCGGAGATGGCCGGGGGCAGACTGGGGAAGGGCGTGAAGGTGTGCTGGTGGGTGTGTTGGTGCTGGTGCATGTGCTGGTGTTGGTGAAACTCGGCCCTCAGGAGCGACACAGGCCCCCGGCCCCGCTCCGAACTCTGAACCAGGAAGCGGTTGTTCAGCTCCTGCCTCAGGAGGTCATGCTCTGCAAGAAAGGAAAGCGAGGAAACCAAAAAGGGGGAGGGGGAGGGGGAGGGACGGGGGACACAAGGAAAAAGGGACGGCGCCCAGTCAGTTACAAGGAGTAGAAAGAGGAAATAGTCACCTGGCAATCTCTGTTTCTCCAGCTCATGCTGTGAGGGTTTTCTACGTGGGGACTCATTGGTGGAGGTAAGAGAGTTGCCTGTGACAATGTGCCAATCAGAATCCCCGAATGAGGCTGGCAATACATGATTGGTTGGTTGAATGATATCAACAGGCTGGTATCTAAAGACAAGAGAGAACCAAGAGTCATCCCAGCAGAAAACACACACACAACCTCTGAGAGGGGGACGCCCATCAGAGCTGGAGACTCTCTTCTCTGTTGCAGCATTTGTAACAACTGATTTTGGTCTGTCTGCTGCGGATGCCACATCACTGAAGATGTCTCCAGCTGTGATGACTGTCCGATTGTGATATCAGCATGTGTAAATATCATGCAGTGTTTGTGTGACACAAAGACAGAATAGCTCTCAGAAGTTAGTCAGGATTAGAGTGAAGCTGTGAGTGCAGTCCTAAATGTGAAAATTTGATATGTGTACAAGTACTTTGGCCTTTTACTCTTCAAACTGATGTGCTTATATGCATTTCACAGATATATACAAGATAAGATAGATAAGAGAAAAAATAAATGGCACTTACCTAACTACAGCAGTACATTATTTTTCAATAAATAAGCTATTCTACCAATGTATCAGAAAAGGATAATGTATACATTATAGTATGTGTGTAATATATTTGACTTCATGTTTATTATTACTTTTAAATGAACAATGTTATTAAAGTATGAATTCACTATGTCTGACTGCTTGTGGTGTTACCTGGGTAGGGCGTGCCAGCGGGGTGCCCGGGCACCACTAAACTGTTGGTAGGTAAGGTTGGTGGCGGTGGCAGTGCTGCTGGGGTTGCAAACATGGCCGGATGGCGATGGACAGGGCTCCGTAGGGAGGAATAGTGCGAGGTAGAGAGGTTGGCTATGGACAGAGGCAGAGCGGGCACTGAGGAGGGCAGCCCGCTGAGGTGATGATGGGGAGAGGGGGGGAGGTGGTGTTTGGGGAGCCCCACAGGACTGCTGCAGTGACTAATGAGAAGAGAGAGAACACAACATATTATTTAGAGACAAATCAACATCTTTTACATTTATAGTCAATTGTAAAAATGTCATCTGCTTCAGACACTCCGCAGGCATCTTTATAACTGAGCTGCATGTTCATTTGGTGCATTGAGGCCAACAATTTACTTTGACAGCACAAAAAGGATTTTCCAATAAACCTTACAGGGCACAATATGAGGTGATATGTACCAGCGGGTCCCAATGAAAAACACTAAATCTGACAGCTGTACTTATTGAATGTTTGTGCAGCTCAAATCAATATCCTCTGAAATAGAGGAGTCATTACTGAGTTACTATAGATTACACTGTTTTAATGAGGACACACTTCAATACTTAGATAAACATGTGTCACATTTGTCAGTTTATATTAGTGTGGGCCCACTTTGATCCTGGTGTGATTACGGTACCGGCTCCTTCCATGTACTTTTGTAGTATTATATTTTTATAAAAATTAAAATATAATTATTTATACGAGAAGAAACTATACCATATATAAGAGATTTTCGCTTTAGAAAATCACGGCCATAATTCCATGGAAAGTGTGTAGAAGATCTTGTTATTGGATCTAAAAACAACTATTCTGTAACACTGTTAAGAACATAAACCGTGTCTCCCTTAAACAAAATGCCCACCTGTAGTCGTGCAGGCTGCTGTAGGACAGGGGGTGGTGGTGGCTGATGATCGGGCGGGAGTGGTGCGAAGGCGGTGGCAGAACTCGCGGGTCCTGGTGCAAGTGTGGGTGCAGAGCTTGGTGGGACAGGGGGTGAGGCGATGCCCTCAGTAGGGGCGGGGTGGAGGGCAGCAGGGGGAGAGGCGGCTGTGGCTGCTCCTTCTTCACGCTGAGTGGAGGCGGTGAGGACAGTCGGGACCTGGGCGGCTGCGGGGGGGCCGCCGCTGCAGCCGGGGCGGGCGAGCCTGTGGGGGCCGATGCCGGGGTGGGGCTGGGCACGGGAGGCGCAAAGGGCACCTCAATGCTGCTGTTGTACTCCTGACCGCGGTGCAGCCCGGAAACCTTCGCTGACGTACAACTCTTAGACTCGGGATTATCATTCGTTGGCACACCTGGGAAATAAAGCAGAGAGAGACGGTCAATGAGTGGCTCCGAAAATATGAGACAACAGAAGGAGAAGTTCAATAATTATTCCAGGATTAAATGATTAAACAACTTAAAGGCTAGAGCCAGTTCCATTATTTAAATAAATCCTGGATACAGACGATAATCAAATGGATCATGGAGAGCCACTTTTACTAAAAGAGCTTTAAATGAGGCATGACACAATGTCGATATTGATCCATATCTGGCAGAGCTGAAATTGGTTGAATTTGGCTGAGTTGGTTCTTTATTTATTTTACCATCTTCCTTGGAAAAAAATGTCCCACAGACAACGGTGACCAAGGCACAGCGGTGACCTTAGGAACAGCAGATATTCAGGCTCATATTTTCTGGATTCAAAATATGAGCCTGAATATCTGCATCTGTCTTGTGGTTGTGTGATTATTCATGCTTTTTCTCTTGCTTTGAGTGGGCCTGTGTATACATTATGCTAGACAAATTAACTTGTCTTGCCTATTTTAAATTCTGATAAGGTGATGTCAACTTCAAGTATTTAATTTTTTAATGAATGCATCTTTCTTCCCAAACGCCACTGAGCTATCATGTACAGTGTCAACAACAATCTAATTAAAACAGTCTCCTACTAGCATAACTACCACTAGTAAGATTTTCTAGAGGAAAACAGTCAAACCCTCGTCATTGGTGTAACTGTTTAACTGCGACCAATCAGGGAGCTGTTGGGCGGAGCATGGGCGGGTCTAACCAGTGCTAGTTTTTGAAAAGTGTCCCTCTCTCTCTTTCCAGTTTAAAAAGTAACTCACATTCACTTTAAAATGCACACAGCATAGTCTGAATAATAAAAGTCCTAATGATGTCCTTAGCAAAATGCTCGGCTCTTCTTGCAAAGATAATGGGCAGATAATGAACGACGCTTCCCTATGAGATGAAACCACTGTAGCCTTCTCATGGGTGCTCCTGTTCTCCTCTCCCTATAGGTCGCATCGAGTGTTTAATCAGGTCATTTTCACGCTTGGCTATAATCAGATGATCCAATTTCTTCCTGCGATCCAGTCAGTATGAATAAATCACAGCTAATTAAAGTTAAATGTCGGGCATTATTCGGGGCTTTGCTGAGCACACAATCTGGCAAGAAATAATTATGTTTCAATTGTGCTGTGAAGAGAGATCGCGGCCCTTTATCGTGCCCTCTCCCCCTTCTCTTGTGCGGGATCTGGAAGAAAATATCGAACAAAAATGCTATACTTTGTCTTTACTATTCATCAGGGGTCCCTTTCTGTGGGGGGGAAAAGCGTTTTATAATCACAGTTGCGCAGAACGACTTTCACACACAAGTAGTCTATTGCAACTTAATGATGGTAATTATATGCTGTTGTAGAAGGGGAAAATGGAAGTGGCATTAACAGCACCATCTTGACACCTTTCATGCTCGAAACAAACGTATGACGAATCTTAATCTGGTAGGCTATGAATTTCAAAATTAACGCAATAGGCCATAGAGAAATGCAGTTTGAATGGGTGATATGTGAGTGTGGGTTTGTAATATAAAGTGGAAAAAGGGTGTCATAGGTAACTTTTTGGATGCTTGGAATGTAAGTGCCATCTAGCATTTACTTTATCTAATGGGAAAGATAAAAATAAATATTCTTTCTTAGAGGTGGCTCGCCTTTCTACATCTCTAAGTTTATATTCATGGGGTGGGGGTCTACAAGTTTTTACTCCTTTCCCACTCCATTTTGACCAATTGTACATAGTCATGCATTTGTAAATTCCTGTTGAAATTGTAAATATACAACAAATGGTGAAACTAGGACAAATACTGCTGCTTGATTGTATATGTATGTTTATATATTTGCATGTGTGGGTAGACCGGGGAGAGGATTCATGGTCTGAAACAAGCAAATAAGGCAAAAATTTACTGGAGGAACTGTTTGAAAAACGCTAATGAAGCTTTCAGCATTTTAGTTGGAACTAGAGCAGAGAAAATGGTCCAAACCAAGCGGCTACTCGATCTCTGTTGCTGTGACCTTAAGTGTACTATTATCTATTTTTAGAACTATGTATTTATTTGTTTTGTTTGTATGGATGTATGTGTTTCTGCTGCTACTGGACACCTGACTTTCTCCTACCAGGGATCAATAAAGAATCAATCTATCTACTGTAAGCACAGTATTAAGTCAACATGTACAGAAGGTCATATAACCTAAGGAGTGTAAATATTGTAAATACTTATGAATGTAAAATTTCTGCTCAAATGAATGAATAAAATCAAATCAAATACAACATTTGCCCGATAACTTTTTTTGTATTGTAACTTGGCTTGGAGCTACAGTATATCCTCCCTCCATGAATGGTTGATATCAGACTGTAGTCTACAGTATAAAAGACATGATTCCAAAGTATTATTCTCATGAAAAGTCTGATTTTTTAAATTGAACTTCCAAGCACTATACTGCCCTTTTCCATTGTTTCTAATTGTTTGTGAAGCGCTGCCTTCCACAAGAAATTTCCCTTGGGGACAATAACGTTTATCTTATCTTTCCACGTCAAGTTTGTGATCTATGGAAAGACAACTAGACTGAGGATTGAGGGAATTTGTCAAAAAACGGTGCATCTTTTAATCTGAGCAAGTTTTTGTTTTGTGCGTCTTATAAAAGAGGCCCCAGAACAGCTTGAAAAGTCAGTCCCTGGACAAGTCCGGTGAAGTAAATTGGGCCTCTTCCTCAAAAGTTTAGGCACCCCAGGCCTCAACTCAGGCCACCTCAAACTCAAGGCTGATGCTTTGAGAAATGACCACTGAAGAAAGTGAAATTCTATTACAATACACCATTTATGCAGCGTTCTTTCCACATTGCTCTTGGACAACTTTCCAATTTACGTAACTTGCAAGTTTTTTTTCTGGATGTCCGTGAGCTCATAAAGCGTGGTGCAGGTTTAATGGCCTGGGATTGTTGTCGAACTCAAAAGAGAGACATATAAAGCTGAGTACTCGAGTTGCAGCGGCCGTTTTCCCCACCCGCGTTTTAAAAAAGCGGTGAAAAAAAGAGGCCAGCAAACAAGCCCCATAAGGAAAATGAAGTATCTCTCTGGGCTAACTCTAATCTCCAGCCAAGGCTTGTGCAGTACTTCAATCACAGACCTTCTTACTTGTACCTCAATTAAAAATCTCAACTCTCAAAGACCAGAAAAACGTGAAGTGCCTGAGGCTGCTGTCAAACCACCTACACGCCAACATGAGGTCCGCTAATGGAATATCCAGTCACTATTAACAGCCTGCTTAATCTTTCAAGGATCCTAACACCCATAAATAGTGTAATAAAAAGCTAAGGCTGGGTCTTTAGATTTTTTATTTGCAGAAAGCCTCCCTCCCTCCCTTAATTCTTGCATTTTACAGGCGAAACGGGGCCGGCTAAGGTGTCACGATTTTTCAAATGAATTCCAGGGTCCAAGCTGTATATAAAACCTTGCACATTTATAGTGGTCTGGGAATTAAATTAAACGATCAGGCTCTTGTTCGGGGGCAAAAGCGCAAGTGAGAGGGGAAAAAAAAATAACAGGAAAGGACTAAGGGCAGTGGATAGACACATAAGACAGACAGGCATTGCAGACAGCCGGGCGCGGAGCAAGAAGCAAATATCCACAGTCGAAATGTCGCCGGTGGGTGATGTTACCATGGCAACACGTTCTTCCAGACACAATGGAGAAAAAAAAAAAGAGTCTCTCCCCACGACAACTATAAGGAAATACAGAGGGGGGATCTGCAAATAGTGATGCTGCCAGGGCCAACAGCGAATAGCCTGGGTTATCTTAATGATGATTCTAATGGGCCCTAATGGAGGCAGGGAGCGAGGTATCGGCTCAAACCAAAAAAAGAAATAAAAAAATCTCTCATTAAAAAGGAAGCAGCGAGCGCCAGACTCGGAGCCACACGCACGCATTCACAAAGAGAACAGGGAGCCAAGAAGACAGCGGAGGAAAATAGGCGTGCAATCATAATGTCCTAATTTCGAAAATGGGATCAAATGCGATTGATGTGAAAAGATTTGATTTTTATGTGAAAATAGTGCTGCACAAGGTTTGTCTGGTTATGAGATAATTAAATCAATCACCAGACACATTTGCAGTGACATTTGGATATAACAGGTAATATAATATAGAACTATAGATAATTATTATTCTTATTGATCTTCATATGCTAAATTAAAAGCACATACTTTCTGTATACTTCTATACATTTGGGACCAACACATTCATTTAAATTAAAAACAGCTTGGCCATATAATACATGTGTTACAGTGAAATTAGGATAGATCATTTGAAAGCCCATTTAACTTTGTAATTCAACTTCAAATGTGAAACTATATGTTATGGCACACACAAAATTCTATCTCCTTCATCTGTTGATAATTTTCTCACAGCTGCAAAAACTCAAAAAACAAGATTTTTTCTTTCTTTCTTTTAAATGGACTCTAAGCCATAATCATCGAAGAATGGCTTGGCATATGTCACAATATGTCATGAAACCGTTATCATATATTGGATGCACATTTCAAGTACACAAATATACCTTTCAACCACATTCTAATTCTCTGAGTTTCACCTGTAAACAACAAAACAGCATCCATGTCTTTATGCAAAATGCCAAATGCTATTTTAGACAAGATGCAAAACAGGGCTACATGGTTTGCATTGCTATTACTGAAAGACACGATAATTTGGTGTTCAACGTTAAATGCATGTTCAGGCCCCACATTCAAACGTACTTAAACGTTATCATGACTAGTCCATGTTTGTGTTCAGCTGCAGCCATCTTGAAACCAAAAAAATCTGTTATAGCTCCATGTCAGAACTGCCTCTCCGACACATCACCTACGGGCTACATACACGGAAATCCTTTTGTTTTTCCACACAACACGACCCCCTCTCCGCACTACCACACTTCTGTCAGACGCAGTTCCAAGTGATTCCACAAACTGTCAGATTTGGCATT